GCCTTAGCCCAGGTGATGGCCTCTGGGTTAAACCAGCAGCCTCACACCTCCAGGAGCAGGGCCCCCCTGGAGCTTTCCAGGGGCCATCAGGAGCGCCCCAGCACTTCGGCTGCCAGAGAAGCCAGGTCTCCCTCCCCCTCCACTGCTAGCGAGGCTTCCGATTTGGAGGAGGGAGAGTTGAAGGAGGTGGGGTTCTCTGAGGATGAAGAGCCCCAGGCAAGGACGAATCCACCGTCGCGGGCCTTTCCCCCCCCTCCTTATTTAGTTCCTTGCTCCACAAGGCTAGTGCCACAGCAGATCTAGACCCCCCCACAGATCCTAAGCCTGTGGCTGAAACGACTGGCGCTAGTAAGAGTAAAAAGAAGAAGGGGCCATTCCATAGACCTCCTGTGGCTAAGGAGGAGATTCCCACGCCAGAGATGTTTCTAGAGGTGCTCAAATCCCAGTGGGTGAAGCCAGGGTCCTTTCCCACTCCAGGGGGAAATGAGAGGAAATTCTATAACCTTAACCAGACCTTTGCTCAAGCTCTCCAGGAACCGGAGGTGGACAATCCGGTGGCCACCCTAGCCTCAGCATCAGCAGTAATCACAGGAGACACCACCAGCTGCCTCAAGGCAGAGGACAAGAAGGCAGACATCGTGCTGCGCAAGATGTTCCAGGCTATAACTTGGGCCATTAGGGCGGCCGCTTCGGCTTCTTTTTTCAACAGGTCCACAGTGCTGTGGTTGCAGCAGCTGAGGGACAGGACTCCGGCCTCAGAGGTTCGTTTGCTGCAAGACATCTCCAAGATCCTGGCTGTCACGCAGTTCTCGGCGGACGCCACTCTGGACGCAGTTAAGTATGCGTCCTGGGCAATGTCATCCTCAGTGGCGTCCAGGCGCCTGCTGTGGTTACGCCACTGGCAGGCAGAGTCTCGGATGAAGTGGCACCTAACGGGAGCAGACTACACCGGTGAGAAGCTGTTTGGAACTGCGCTGGATCCTATCCTGGTGGAGGATAAGAACAAGCGGAAGGTCTTTCCAACGACCACCAGATGCTCAGACTTCTGACATGCGCCATATCCCAGGAGAACCTCGTACAGGCCACCTGACGTGGAGAACCAGAACCAGAGGTACCAGAACCCCAGGTTCCACAGGCAGGGGGATAGGCAGTTCCATAGAGACAGGTTTAGAGGCCAGCAGCAGGGCAAGCAGCCCTTTCGAGGAGGAGGCGGTCGCCCCTTCCGCAGATTCAAGTGATCCGCCCCCGGATCACCCTATTGGCGGTCGCCTCTCCCTTTTCGCGGATGCTTGGGAACGTGTCACCTCGAATGAGTGGGTCCTCCAGACTGTAAGGCTCGGGCTGCAGCTGGAGTTCCGCTCTCTCCCCCCTAGTAGGTTCTGCACCTTTGCCTCCTCCACAGACCCGACCAAACGGGCCCTTAAGGCCAAGGCCATCAAGCATCTGCTAGACATCAGGGCCATTGAAAGGGTCCCAGAGGGGGAGAAGGGGTCTGGCTTCTACTCAAACCTCTTCCTTGTCCCCAAGAGCTCAGGGGGGTGGAGAGCCATCCTGGATCTTAAACTCCTCAATTCCAGGGTGGTCTACCGCAAGTTTAAAATGGCCTCCTTAAAG